ATATGCATTTCTGTTCACAAATGTAGTAATGAAATATTACTTAATGCATGATGATTGGAGTATTCTTAATTAAATTGTTGCAAAATTTCCAAGTTAATTAGTAATAATAAACTTAACTTATTATTGTACAAAAAAATAAAAATTCAATCACACTAGAATCTAGTGTGACTTAGAGTTTTATTAAAGATCTAGTAACGAAATTTTAATTAAGAGTTGCCTAGAAATCGCCTAAAAATCGAACGATTTCTCGATCTGCAGTCTGAGGCACTCATACTTAATAATTTTCTTGATTAACTTTAGGGTTTTAGGAATAATCAACCCGAGGTAGGTTTAGACTGCCGTTAATAGACAGAAGTTCGTCTGATTGGCTATTTAATTTTACATTATTTATACAGTTTATTAGAGTACTTTTTAAAAAAACGAAAACAAACCATAATAAAGTAAAAAAAAACCATATGAAAGGTTTCTAGGACTCCATAGTCTAAACTAAGATCTAATTCTCGTCCGTTTAAAAAAATTAGCTTTATAGAGTCCTACAGCACTAATGAAACCTTCTATACAGCTTTTTTAAAAAGTACTCTAAACTGTATAAATGATGTAAAATTAAATTGAATTTATTAGTCAATCAGCCGTCTTTTGAATTTTTTGGCCGGCGATTATCAAAATTCTATAACACGATTGGCTTTTGATCACATGATTGGCTTCCAGGAATAATGGGATGATCTGCGAAATTTTGATTGGCGCATGATAATCTATATTTTTTTTTGTACTTGGCACAAGTGATAATCATTAAGACATTAAAAAAAGTAAAATTAAAAGCATAATAAAATATTTGTTTGATAAATATGTAGTTACTATTATATTTAATTCTCTAATGAAATTTTATTTGTCTTTAAAATATAACTTAAGGTTTATGAGTCGTTATTATATGTCGGGGATGATGCTGAAATCGGATGATGCTGAAATTTTAACTTTATTTTATTATGAAATTTTAAATTTTTTTGGGGGGTTTTTTTTTTTATAGTTAGACTAGAATTTAGGGTTAGTGTTTATAATAAAAGAGTATAGGTGAATTTTAGTAGGGTTTATATTTTCAAATTAAGGCCCCAGATTTCAGCATCATCCCTGACATTATATATTGACATATTATTCTGACTTTTTAAATAGTTAGAATTATTCAATTAATCACTTTTATATTACTAAATTTTATCTAATAAATTCATTGGGCAATTGAACATATGCTCCAATTTATATAATTGACATATGTTTAATTAATTTGCTAAATTATTGGACAAAAAATTATTAGAATTAATTGAACAAATTGAACAATACCAACTCTGTTAAGGGAAAGCTACTTTTGAAGTCATGTGAACATAGTACAAGTTCATAAGTAAGCTTGATGGGATTTTTTTTATTACTAGTTGTTTTTTTATGTTTGAGATCTATTTTCTGTAATGCATAATTGAGTTATTATTAATCATGTAAATATTACTTATTTTAAGAAAGATTATTAAAACTATTAAATAAATAAATTATTTCTTCGAATTGAACAATTGCTAAATTAAATGTCATTGAAAGTGATTCAATATACTTTTCTAATTAAGAAGTTGAATCAAATGTTTAATTCGAAGTTCTTGTATCATCATCACGAGTTTATAATAAACAAGTTTATGTACTTAATAAGGAATCTTTTTCATAAGCCAAGAAACAGTGTTTTAATGAATCAAAAAACACTAAGCTCTGCAAGGAATTTTTAATTAAAACATAGATGCAATTTCAAAGCCGAACAAATTGTATTATTGTCTTCGCTATCGGGCTGTCACTATCGGCAACAAATATATTCACCTAAAATTGTAAAACACTTTACTTGGATTCAATCTAAGTCACAATAAATAATATTAATCCAGTCGAAACTGTTAATATTCCATTAGATTATCTTTTACAATTACAATTTCTTGCAATAAAATCCTATGAAAAAGAATATAATGATCTTTTGGTAAAAAACGATGTTATTAATGAACTCTCTAAAATATCTAAAGCTTCTGAAGAGACACCTAAATTCAACAAAATTCCGGAAATTCCTAAAAATAAAAAATTTCAAAAACCTCCCCGCCCTCCAAATGCTTTTATTCTTTATCGCTGATCTAAACATCAGGAAATAGTTGCTGCTAATAAGGGCATTACTAATAATAAAGTTTCTAAAAAAGTTGGTGAGATGTGGCATAATGAACCTTTAGAAGTAAAAATAAAGTTCCACCTTTTTGCTGATGCTACAAAATTAGAACATATGCAAAAATATCCCGAATACAAATATCAACCTCATCATCCACATGAAAAGAGAAGGAGGAGAAGCACTAATTCATCAAAGAATGGTATTTCAAATCAAGACCAAGTAAAAGCAGAAATGAACGAAGTTGAATCTTGTTTCAAGATATTGAATAACAATTTAAATTTGTCAAACGAATTTTTGGTAAATTTTCAGGAAACTATACTTCCTTTTGAATACAAAAATTTACTTTGGTATTCAACTCATCCAAACTTATCAGGAAATTTAAATAATATCAATCATGAAAGCAATAATTATTATCCTTTTTGTATTTCTCCCATTACTTTTTCGCAATCTTATCATGACAGTTTTTATCCTTATCCCTTCCCTATATATACTTCTATGTAACTTAATGTTTTTTGAATGTGGTGTCCAGAGAAAGAATAATTATTTTCTGGTGAATATGTTTTAGGTGCTATAAGATTCAAATAAATATGCATCAACAAACACAACTTATATAATTTAAGAAATTGTAGTAAATATTTATAGCTAGGCAAATATTTAATTAGTATAATTTCAAATTTTGATATTTATGTAATGAATATTTATATATAACTTTACTTATTGAAATAAAAATTTGATAGGCTCGAATAAACTTATAGGTAATTTAAAACATTTTGATATTCTTTTTAATTGAACATCAACTGTAGACTTTTCCATACAAATTTGTTAGAAATTAGTTTATGATCTATTTTTTTTAGTGAATTTTTAAAATAATTTAAAATTTTATTTTGAAGCTAAAGACAATATAAGATTAAATTTTTCTTAACAAAAGACAACAAAATCTCATAATTGAGAGTCTATGACTATAAGCAGACAAATGAATTACGAATTTAAAAAAAATGAGTTAAATGAAATTTTTACAAATATTATCAAAATGCATTACAAATTCATGTATTTCTTAAAATTACAACCATTTATAAAGGAAAAAAAATATAGTTAAAAGAAATTTTTGTTTCTTTGTGTAGATTCTCATCAGGTTTTTAGCAATAAATTCAGTGCTAGCTTAGCATCTCCCTCAGTTTTTATTTATAAGTTCAGTAAATATTGGTGGCTTAATATCCCTATTTTATATTGGACTTAAAATCATTGAAAATTTATCATTTAGAGAAAGAATCGTTTCTATGAAATCAGTACTTAAGCTTCTTTCTTGAAGATATTACAACATTGTTATCAAAGTGAAACCTTAAAAACATCTTCAATATACATTTGTGCAAGTAGTAGTATATCCACGCGTGAGTGGAATGAATATATAAGATGATGAATAAAATTATTTTATTTCATATAAAACATACACATGATTATTTTAGAAACAATAAGGTTCATTTTCTGAAATAAAATATTTTCTTGCAAATAATTTTCTAAATTAAAGAAATCTTTGATTGTTTCTAATAAGTTTTGTAAAATATATAAAGCATCTTTATACTTTTTCCTACTGTAAAGCTCTAATTCAATTTCAATCATAAGATTTTTTTGATTGTTAACAAGTTCTAATTTGCTATATTAATTAATGAGACCAATTTAAATCATCATCTTTGGCTATTTCTCGATAAATATTCCAAGCATCTTCATATCTATCCTTTTGTGAAGATAAGTTGCAATGCTTAAAGCCATTTCTTTATTCTGTTCTGGACCATACCCATGCATATGACAAAGCGCCATATAATATGTGGCCTAGCCAAAGAGTTTAATGTTGTCTTCGTATTCACACTAGCAAGCACTTTAAAAGCAAAAAATGCCAATTTTAAATTTGCCTTCTTTGTAATTGCATGTTTGAGTTTAAGATCGCTCAGACTTTCACCTTTTGGAGATTTGCTTGTCTGTTCTTTTTTTTTTAAAAAAAGAATTGATACCGGCAAACAGTTATATATATTAGACCTGATCAGATATTCCTTTCAATCCTTTAGATAATAGAAACAAAAATATTAATTCAAAGGAAAGGATTTATTAATTTATTATTTGCATTCTTTTAGTCTCTTTTTCTTCTATTATTACTTCGTGACTATAGAAATTAGACCTTGAGTTAAACCAAACTATTAAAAATGACAAAAAATAGGTAGTTAAAGAATCACATAACAAGACAAGTTGTCCAGTATATTATTAAATTTGGTGAATATATAGTATATAAAATACAGTCGGGCCTCTCTGTTTGAATTGTGACAGACCATATATAAAACTTAATCAAATACCTAACTCAATGATTCGAATTCCTACTCACTGATCCAGGATGACGACTGAGCTATCAGACATTTTTTGGGCTCAGTCTTCCAAGTTGGAAGTCTGAACCCGAAAAACATCTGATGACATTTGCTCATTAGATATCCTCATCATTGAAATTCATTTTAGTAATATTGCTGTGTTGTATGGAATTGGATCAATATGTTCTTCCTAAATAGTTCAGTTGTACGTAATTTAGAATTACTGTATTAAACATAGGCGCTGTTCAATAGAAAAGAGATTTCCTCCTTTTCTATTGACATTTTTTTATACGTTTTACAATTCCTTTTAAGTTAGAGATTTGAGTTTAATGTTAAATATTAAAATTTATAGTTTAATGATACTTATATTTATAAAAAACTACACATGAATTTACAAATGATGAGAAATATAAAATGCATCCAATTAATTAATTACCTGAAGTTTACTATTGAGTGTTAGGAAAATTAATTTATCTTCACACAGCCTTGGAAAGTTATTCTTCGTTCCTTATGAATGATTTAAATTCTATTGCACATGTACAATAATAATCTTTATCTCTTTCTAACTGAGATTTTAAAATACATTTAATATTTCTAGCTTGACAGAGGTCAATAATTTCTATCTCACTTTTTTTCTGTTTTTCTATGTTGTAATTTTCTGATCGCACTATTTCTATATACCTTAAATATTTGGCTTTTTAATAAAGTATCTTAAATATGGAAGAAAGTTGAGCTCAACATTAAAAGATAATATAAAAAATTCTAGCTTCACTCTTTCTATATCAAAATCTTGTAAAAAATAATTCAACATACACAACTCTTTCCAACGATCATCTGGTCAACAAAAATCAAGAAACCAAACTACGGTCAGCACTATAGAAGATGCTAAAGTAAATAATAAACCTGGTCCTACGAAAGTAGGTGTGATGTCGACGAAGTACCAAAAGTGTAAAACCGAGGAGCAGACTACTGTGAACTGGTTTTTGTAGAGGTCAAGTTTTCTCCAACGGACTCCTCTATTATATTCAGTATTCAAACCAAAAGGATATTTTGGAAACACAGAATGACTAGGTCGACACCAGGAGTATTCCAAACTTTAAGTACCTATACAACCGTAAAACTTACAAGGAACAACCACAGAAAGCTTCATTGGCCCACCACTTTTTTTTCGAGGAAAATTTTGTCAAAAGTGGGCATTTCA